AAAAAACAAAAACAAAAACCCAAACAACAACAACAAAAAGCCATCAAGCAGATGTAAGCCATTTAAAATTATTAATGATGCAAAAATGAGGTACTATGTGTAAAGTGTGATCATCCAATGTTATAACTGAAGTTCATAATGCCAATAATATGAAGAGCTTACATTAAAGAATCTTTTGTTCAGGTTCTTGCTTGATTAAGAGATTTTCAAACTTTATTTCTTCACATATTAATAAGTGGGATTCAAGAATTCAGTAGAATCATTTATTATTTGATCAAAATTTGATCATAAACAGCAAAATACACAGATTTTCTCAGAATCCAGGAGAATATGAAAGGACCTATGTAAGCATTTTGGTGGTTCTGACCAAGTGCCATCAGAACATGTTATTTTCCTGTTTCTCTGAAGTACATAGTAGGACTGGCATTGATTCTCCACTGAAGACCCCAGGGCATAGACTACTAATGGAAGAATGGTGATGTCTCCACTGTCAATATGAGGAGGGGGCCCACATTTTCTTTCAGCATCTAGAAATATTATTTGATATATTGAGACAAAACCATCAGAGAGAACACAGAGGAATGTGCAAATCCAGCACAATATGTAATGTAAAGACTTGTGTGTGCCCAGCTGGGCGAGGCTCAGGAGTTGAGCATCCACCTAGGATCCAGTAGTTCAAGGTTCAATTTCTGCTCAGGGCACATGACCGGGTTGGGGGCTCCATCCCCAGTGTGGCATGTGCAGGAGGCAGCTGATCAGTGACTTCCTCATCATTGATGTTTCTATCTCTCTCCTTCTCCCTTTCTCTCTCTGAAATCAATAAATATATATTTTTAAAAAATTGTGTGCTTCTGAGGAAAGAAAGGATTCACTGGAGAAATTCTAATCATGTAAAGTGGGAATCACAAGGTTTTGCAGCCCTTGCATTGATGGCAGAGTGAAAGTCCCGTAAGCCAGAAAGAACTACATTTGTTTTTCCACATTTTGGTGTAAAACTATTTTTTATAAGGACTAATTCTTGGCAGACACATAGTTCATGGTCACAGAAGGTTCCGTGTACTCTCATACAGCCTATTGCAATGGTTCTTGGGACTCTAGGTATTTAATTTTTATTTCCATTAAAAACAAACAAGCAAACAAACTGTGCCCTGGCCAGTGTGCTCAGTTGGTTGGAGCAAGATCCCATTCACCAAAAGGCTGAGGGTTTGAATTCAGGTCAGGGCCCATACCCAGGTTTCTGGTTCCATCCCTGATTGGGTTGTGTGCAGGAGGCAACCAATTGATTTTTCTCTCTCACATTGATGTTTCTCCCTCTCTCTTTCTCTCTTCCTTCCTCTCTATAAAAAACAAAAAGAATGAAAAAATTATTTAAAAATTTAAAAGTAAATCAAACTCCTTGCAAAAATTTAAGAAACAAATTTGAAGAAATAACAAGGAGCAAAATAACTTCCTGTTTCAGAACGATGGACTAAGAAGACTGCTTCCTACTCCCTCTCCTAAATAGAAATACAACTTCTGGATAAATTACAGAAACAAATTTAAGAAGACTATGAGCGACATAGAGGAGAAGTCCAATCAGCTGGGGATGTAGGAACTGAATGAGCAACATGGCTGTGAATTGCTTGGGTTTCTTTTTCTCCCAGATGATGAGAGAAACTTTGAACTGCAGAGCCATGAGATTCACACTCAAAAGATGCCCCAAGAAGAGTGGGCTCTCTCTCTAGTCAAGGCCCAGGAAAGGAACAGCCTAAAATCACAGAAAGATTGTTCCCCACAACAATCCCGAAACACGTCTAGGAAAACAAGGAAAAAAACTGCCTGAGACTGCCTACCATATTATATTGACATACAAAAAGTGCACAATAAATATAACTTATCGCCAGTACAATAAATGTTGATGTGATGAATAAACAAGAACCAAATTTCCTGCTAGAGTGGGAAGAGGCAGAAGACTAGATGTTGTTCTACCAAAGGTACTGACTGTGCTTTAGGAATCCGAGTTTTAGGATTCCCAAGTCCAGTACTCAAATTCACCTCTTGCTTTGTTTTCATATAAAAGTATAAGAAGCTCAAGTCTGCTTTACCTAGAATATATTCCTATTTTTCATGTGGTTTCTATT